CAGTCCACCGTTGTCGTGGAGGAGAAAGAGCAACTGTAGACAGTACATGAACTCCAGTGAGTTGTTTCCAATACAGTTTTATATATGATCATGAAGCTTTGGTTTTGTATGTGTGATCCAGTCCTGGTGCTTGAACTCAGGGCCTGGGTGCTTCTCCTAAGCATTGTTAATCAAGAATAGAAATCTACCACTTGAGCTTTACTTCCAACTTTTCGGAAGTTCTTTGGAGATAAGAGTCTCATGAACTTTCCTGTCCAGGATGACCTCAAATCTCAATCCTCCACATCAGCTAGCCACCAACATGCCCTGATCATGAAGCTTTGCAGTCAACTTTCTCATGTCATGAGCTATTATTCTTTTTTATGCTTTTTTTTCAACCATTTGGTCTTGGCTCATGGTAGGCAAATGGACTGTAGTTTGCTAACCCCTGGTTTAGACAACTTGTGGCCAAAAGTGCCTAATGCTTTTTTCAGAGGATTCCAGAGGAATCAAAATGATCCTTGGGCTTTTACGCTAGCAACTCATTTCCAAGCAGATCTTTGTTACAGGCTTAGAAACTGTTAGCTTGAGTTATTCAAGCTAAGTGAGTCTAACAAAGGCTGTTCTTGGCTCTTGATTTTCTCCGTGGGTGTCCCTCCTTTCTCTCTGAATCGTTTCAGGGATGAGGATGCCAGATTAATGACAGCCTCTGGATTAGAAGCAAGGACAAAGATCACAGAGTGATGATGAGCCATGCGCTAGATTGGAAATGAATTCTGTAGGAATAAGTCCTGATGACACTATCAACTTTTTTTCCTCCTGTACTGTGGTTTGACCTCTGACCTCAAGTTTATTTGGCAGGCCACGCCCACTTCCATTGGAGCCCCCCCTAACCATCTTGTTGTAATTATTTTTCAGACTAAGTCTTGTGCTTTTGTCCAGATCAGCTTTGGTCTGCCATCATCTTAATACATGCACTCATTAGAAGTCCCGTTCCTAACACAGAGGGACTGTCTAGTCCTTTATAATTCTAGTTTATAGCAGAATGCTTCTCCCCTACAGATCTCCTCAGATAAATCAATTCCTTCTTCTTATAACTCAGTTGAAAGACACAAATGCATGGACTAAACTATAGGACCATACCTCCAACAAAACACTTCTGACAGTTTTGGGCTCCTAAGAAGCATTGGGAAAATACTGAGTTCTGCCTTTTGGGGGGCAGATATGGGAGAAGGGTAATTGTTGGTGAGGCAGGTGTCCCTTTCTAGCTAAGAGGGGTCTTTCAAATGCTGGGATTATAGGAATGTGGCACCATGCCTGGCCTTTGTACCATTTTTTTTTGCCTTCATGTTACAAAGCAGTAGAAAGAGGGATCTAAGAAGGAGAATTTCTTTTCTTCTCTGGGACTTATTATATGAGTTCTATGCCCTCAGTGTATCTTTTCTTACTATATTTAAAATATGACATGTTTAGAACGTCCCTCCCCTCTCCCCCATAGATGCTTCTGTGGAGTTAAAAAGAATTTTGGTGCAATCCAATTTTAGAATAGCCCAGAAGTCTTCTCCAGGAATTTATTAATTTATTGCCAGTCCTGGGGCTTGAACTCAGGGCCTGGGTACTGTCCCTGAGCTGCTTTTGCTCAAGGCTAGCACTCTACCAATTGAGCCACAGTGCCACTTCTGGCTTTTTCTGTATATTTGGTACTGAGGAATTGAACCCAGTACTTCATGCACGCTAAGCAATCACTGTACCACTAAGCCACATTCCCAGCCCCTTCTCCAGGAATTTAGAATATCTAAGAAGGTTTTGATTGACATGACGGACCTATAGTACAAAAAGATAAAGTATATCAGTGAATGCACACACACAACACATGCCTGTACATACATGCACACATACACACACACATGCATTCACAGCCACCATTCTGTACCAGTAGAGAATCTGACTGCAAATCAAAAATACTCAGGACAAGACTAGCTGTACATACGTTTTTCCTTGCCATTTCTGAACACTACAGTGTAGCAAATATTTAAATAGCACTTACCTTCTATTAGGTATACTCTATTAGATATACTTACCTTCTGCTAGGTATATAAGATCATTTAAAGTGTATAAGATGTACTTGGGCTACATGTCAATATGCTAAACTAGTTTCCATGAAGGACTTGAGCATCCTTGGGTTTTGGTACTCATGTAACAGGAAGTCCTGGAGCCCGTCCCCGGCAGGTTCCGTGGGGTGACTGTACGTAAGCTTGGACAGTTAGAAACACTGCAGTATGACGAAGACAAAAATCAGCGGTGACATTTCCCTTGCCTCAAGAAGCTCAGCTTTATTGGGGTCATGACAGGTTGCTCAAAGTCCTGTTGCAGTGGGTACGGCAATGTTTATCCAATACAAGTTGGGAAAGTATAGTTTTCAGCTTCGTGGCTTTGTGGGACTTTTTTTTTTTTTTAAAGCAAGAGCATCGCTGTTGCTTTCTTTCTAATCCCCCAGGAACATCTACCTCTAGCTTCCATCCACCTTGAGGAGTTCCCAACATTTGTTGGTTTGCTTTTCAGGCCAGGGTTGAGTGAGGGTTTAGACTTCAGCTTGTATGTAGAGACTGCCTAGGTTGTTTGAGCCTTAGGCCCATGTTTTGCTTGCTCATGGAGTCACAAAGCAGCTCGAATGGTTGATTTGATTTTACTGTTCTCTCTCATGAGCACAGGTGAAGACAGTAAGGGGGTTGAAGAAAAGAGAAAATTACCCCATGACTTAGATGTCTCCTGCTGGACAGCTCCCAGACTCTGCAGCTTCTTGCTGGCAGATTCCGGGAAGGCTGGAACAGGAGTGAATATATATATTCATTCCTCACATCTTCCAAAGGCGTGTTTGGAGAGTTCTGGGGAAATGGGAGCCTGTGTGCCCAATGTCTACAAGCAGCTGCTTTTAGTTGTGCTTGCAAAGGTGTGAAGAGTAGGCAGGCAGTTCCAGAGCAGGGTGTAGACAGACACAAGAGAGCAATTAAGGTTCTTATCTGAACCGGCTTGTTCTGGTTTTTTTGTTTTTTTTTTTTTTTGTGGGGTTTTTGTGTGTGTGTGTGTTGTTTTTGCTTGTATATGTGCTTTCCATAGTAAGACACAGGTCCTGGCCTTGTCTTCACCTTGGTCAGGATTGGGACCCTTAATGCTGGCCTCAGCATATCTTGCAGGGAGAGTTTAGCCACATGCGAAATGAATACAACAGGATCTTCCCTGTAGCCCGGCTTGGCCTTGAATTCTATTTCTGTTTCAGCCTCCAGAGTGCCCAGCTTGCCAACGTGCATCACCATGGTTCTGCTTTCTCGTTGTGTGATCCCGAGCAAGTCAGTCTGACCATCCAAGTCTCCATTTTCTCATGCGTAAAATATAGGTCATTCTCTCCAGAGTATCCTGTGAGAATGTGGAGAGATAATGCACGGAAAGCTCTTAGTGCTCTCTGTGGCTAATTTTTTTTTCATAATGCTATTTCTTTTGTGGGAAGGAGTGTGGAATAGATTGGGATTGTTTCGTCTACAAGAGAGAAGATTGGAAGAAGACATGATCGCCGTCTTTGAGCATTTAAAGGGATACGATGAGGCCGAGGGAATCCGTACTTTTCATGCTATGACACGAATGGCTTAGAATATGGTCCCCTGCAGGAAGGCAGATTTCACATCAGTAAAGCTAGGCAGCAACGATGCTTGGGCACAGCCCAGCTCCCTCACCAGGTGCAGCGCTTCCTGACACTGTGTCTCTTAGACAGATCGCCAGCTCTGGAAATCTCAAAGAGAAATGCCTGTTCCAAGGGGGAGGTTGGTTGGACCAATGGCCTCTGTTGTGTTCACTTCTAAGACGCCAGGCACTTTTAACAAAGGACTCAGCCTTTGGACTCCGGAGGAAATCCTGAGACCCGCATCTCTAGAATAAAATCCAAAAATAATCATCACAATTCCCCTTAGCTGTAAATTGCCGCGCTTACTTGCTTAGAGAAGATGGCTCTTGACTATTTCCTCCTTGTCTGAAGTTTGCTAGGCTGTTGTAACAAAGAGCCATAGACTGGTGGCTTACACAGTAGAAATGTGTGATTTCCTGCTCGAACTTCAAGGTCAAGTTGTCAGCTGAGTTGCTTCAGCCTGAAGCCTCTCTCCCTATAGGTGGCTCCTTTCTCCCTGTCTTCAAAGGAACTTACCCAACTGCCTATCAGTGTGTCTTAGGACACAGCCATTGGCTGAAGGCCTTCCCCAATGATGTCATTTAACCTTTATTACCTTGTTCAAGATCTGTTCCTCAGGACATTTATCCCAAGACCCCTTACACACCAAAATCCTTAGATGCAAAGTCCTGTACATAGCATGCAAGTTATCTGGATAAAAGGGATGTACTTTTAATCATCTTTCACTTGCTTATTAGCCGTGACAATGTCAATACTATATTAATAGTCATTATCCTGTGAATATGGAAAATAATGACCAGACGTTATTCAGCGGTATGTTCTGCACAGAGACATTTCTTCATTTCTTGCTGGGGGCGTAGCTTAGTCATAGTCCCTCTGAAATTAAAAACAAAAAAGGAAAAACATTAAATATTTTAATTTATTTTTGGGTCTATACTGAGACTTGAACTCAGGGCCCAGGATGCTTCCCTTCACTTTTTCATTTAAAGATGGTGCTCTCCCACTTGAGCCACAGCTCTACTTTCTGGCCTCATGGACTTTCCTGGCCCAGAGCTGGCTTTGAACCATCTTGAGATCTCCACCTCTAAAGTAGTTTGGATTACAGGAGTGCGCTTCCGGTGTCCAGCTTTTCTGTCTGTCTTGTCTCCTTTTAATGATTCTTAGGGACATTTTTCCTTGCAGCCACTGGTTGAACCAAGAGATAACAGAACCCACAGCGCATTCCGAGGCGGTGCTGGGGAGATTCGAACTTCCAGCCAGGGGAGGGGGTGGTGGGGATAGTATGCACGTTTGGCACGCTCGGCTGAGTCCTGACCCTGTCCTGTCTCCCTCGCCCTCCCTGTAGGTGAGCGACCCTTTCCCTGCACGTGGCCAGACTGCCTTAAAAAGTTCTCGCGTTCAGATGAGCTGACCCGCCACTACCGGACCCACACCGGGGAGAAGCAGTTCCGCTGCCCGCTGTGCGAAAAGCGCTTCATGCGCAGTGACCACCTCACCAAGCATGCCCGGCGGCACACCGAGTTCCACCCCAGCATGATCAAGCGGTCGAAAAAGGCCCTGGCCAGCCCTTTGTGAGGTGCTACCCGCCGCCAGCCAGGGAGGGATTGGACCCCAGAAGGACAAAACGACACCCAGGAAACGAGATGGACACCATGGACACCCAGCCCCAGCAGAGGCGCGCCCACCCACAGTGGACATTCTCTGCCCTCTGATCAATGATTTCTGATTTTTTCTTCTCCTCCAACCTCCCCCCCCCCAACCCACTACATTGTCTGGTTTTAAAGAAGCACATGGTAGCCTGAGATCAAAGTCCACACGTGCTCCCCATTGCGGACAGCAGCCCCGAACCCCAGCTTTGACTGTGGGAAGGTGGGCAAATGCTTTGGGGGAGGGGGTGTAATGTGTTTTTTTTTTCTCCCCTCACTTCCTTTGTTTTCTTTTTGGGGTGGAGGGGAGTGTGGGGGAGAGGAACAAGGCCAAGACTGGGGTAGAATGTTTGAAGAGATTCACACTGGTGTACATAGGTATGGCTGGGTGAGTTGATCTGTGGCAGTCACAGACATTCTGGACCCTTTCTGCTTGCTGTCCCTCAGAATTGTTTTCTTCCTTTTTAATGTAATGATGAGTGTGCTTCCGTTTGTTTTTAGCAAAAAAACACTCTCTTGAATCACGTTAACTTTTTGAGATTTAAACACACACACACACACACACACACAAAAACCAACAAAAAAAATTATCCATGAGAACAACAACTCCATAGCACAGCTGTCTTTATGCAAGCAAGAGCACACCTCTTTCCAGCATGGTCTGTCATCTAAAGACTTGAAAAACAAACCAAGTTACTTCCAGTCCATGGGTAAGCAGAGTCTGATTTTTGTACTAATCAAGGCAAACCTGCAAAGGGTTAGGCTAAGAACGGAACTTACACACCTTGCTTTGTATGAATCTTGAACATAATCTGCACTTTTCTTTTCTAATGCAGAGGATACATTCAGTTAAATACATGTGTTGAGGCTAGAAGCAGACGTTCTATTTTGGCATCATGTTCTGATCTGCTTCTTGTACATGTTTCTCTAAGAAACCATGGCAGAGACGTGAGGGCAGAATACACACCACACAAGCTGAGGGAAGAGGGTGGGTAGCATTTTTCAAAATACAAAGTACACTTTTAACTCTATGAACTCGTCTGGTTATCATCATCTTCTACCACAATACCACTAAGAGAGAGAGAGAGAGAAAACTTCCAACCCTGTCCGGTGTTAACTGAATGGGTGCAGAACACTGACCAGGCTTGGAAACACCTGATTCTTTTTTTTTTGTTTTGTTGTTGCTGTTATTGTTGTTGTTATTGTTTGGAGTGAGGAGGAGTGCTAGTCTATTTCCTTCTCATCTTCCTATAAAACTTCCACTGTCAGGTACAAGAGTTATAGCCAAGGAAAGGGAGCTGAAATATGAAAAAAAAACTTTTTTTAAAAAAGGTGCCCCTAGAAGCAAAGGGAAAATACCACAGTGATTTCAGAGGCGACGGCAAAGTGACTGTAGGCAAATGAAATCACACCCCCATCAAATAACCTCGCCACCGCAGGGTGCATCTAGGTGTCCACAGAGGCCTGAACCACTACATCCATCCATACTACGCCATTTACCAAGAACTTCATTTTGGCCTTGACATGCCAGAAAAACCAACTTGAGTGTTCACAGTTTGAAACTATCCTTACAGCAAATAAAAGAGAAAGAAGAAAAAGAAAGGAAAAAAACAACCTCAAATACAGGGAGTCAGCAGTGATCATGGGGAAAATGTTTACATTTTTTTTTTCTTCTTCAGAAATAACACTTTCTGGTGATCCAAACAGGGAGCTAATGGTGCATTCTAGTAGACCCATGTGCTCACAAATATATTATGTAATTGCAAGGTGCTCCCTGTCCACGAACTCCATTCTTTCATCCAACGCATGCTTCACCTAGAACCAGGGGCTCCTATAGGGGCAAGTCACAGCTGACTCCGACTTCCAATACAACAGCCATCGCTAGCACGGTGTTTTTCTTTTCTTTTCTTTTTCTCTTTGTTTAATCGATGTAGTTCTATTAGTAGTTCTAACAAGAGAACTCCTTTTAACATGAGGATCTGGGAGCAGTCCATGGGCTTAAAAAAAAAAAACAAAAAAGAAAAAAAAAAGGAAAGTGTTTTCTCACGAGAAAACATGTCAGGAAAAATAAAGAACACTTTCTACCTCTGTTTCAGATTTTTGAAACGCTTATTTTAAACCAAATTTTAATTTCTGTGTCCAAAATAAGTTTTAAGGACATCTGTTCTTCCATACGAAATAGGTTAGGCTGCCTATTTCTGAGCTCACAGAAAGGCTGTGCTTCGGATACTCTGCATGCTGCCTTTTTCCGGAAGTGAGGAGTTTGGGGTTGCCTAGCAACTTGCTAACTTGTAAAAAAAAAAACAAGAAAAAGAAAAAAACAAAAATAAAAACCAACCCAACAACTTCAGCTTTCCCCTCACAGAAAGAAAGGAAGAAAAACAAAGTCAAGTCAGTGAAAGACAATCGTTACTGTTTCAGGAGTAAATCTATCCGTGGCTTTTATCAAGCACTTAAACAGCAACTTGTTTTAAGAGAAAAAAAAAATGCACAATTTACTTCCCAAAAGAGTTGCTACTTGCCTTTTCCAGCTGTTGACAGACATTTGATATTCTCTTATATGTTAGAGTAACGTAATGTACCAACTCAAGGCTTTTTATTCTTTGTGATAAATCCTGTTTTACAATATCACAAAACAGGAGCCAGCATTCTAATTAGATTTACTATGTCTCAATATGGTTCAAGTAGAACTACTAGAGTTCGTTGAACACTAAAACTATGAAACGATTACTTTTTATATTAAAAAGACCATGGATTTAACTTACGAAAAATCCAAATGCAGGATAGTAATTTTTGTTTACTTTTTTAACCAAACTGAATTTTTGAAAGACTATCGCAGGTGTTTAAAAAAAAAAAAGAGAGAAAAGCTGTTTTATCTAATACTGTAAGTAGTTGCCATTTATGGGGAAAAAATGTAATAGTTTTAGAGTTAAGATATCTCCTCTCCTTGGTTTGGAAGAAGAAAGCCCTTCCCCACTGTGGAATTCACCCTGGCTTTTTACGCTCCACACCATGCTTCTTTTGAGAATTATCTTAGGTAGCTGTAATGACAGAAATCAATTAGTTTGTCAGTTTGCAAATAGGCTTAGTACAGTACTCATCACTCTGGGTAGACTGAGATGCTCTTTCACAACCGATAAATGGTCTGTAACACTGTAAGATACCAATCTTTACAACTCTTTAATCAGTTTTATTTTTGTACAGTATATTAGTGACCTAAGTTATTTTGCTGTCCTGTTTTTGTAAATCAAATGAAATTATAAGAGGATTCTGACAGTAGGTATTTTGTACATATGTATATATGTTGTCCAAATAAAAATAATAAATGATAAAGACTGAATTGCTGCAGCGGTTGTGTGTTCTAAAGGGGGCAGTAGCTTTATGAATTTATCTTCACAGACTTTTAGGATGAGGGCAGAGGTAGTTTTCACCTGTACCTTTCAACATACTCCATATTTGTATCAACTCATGACTACTTTTTCCAAACTTGGGTTTGGAAGGGTGGAATGGAGCCCGTTGGGAGGCACTGTATTATAAGGTCTGGAGGTGTGACTGAAGGGAAATCACTGTATTATGGCTAGAAGGGAATTATTTGTGGGTTTGCCAGGACTGGGACTTGAACTCAGGACTTGGGTGATGTCCCTGAACATTTTTGCTCAAGGATACTGCTCTACCACTTGAACCACAACTCTCCTTCTGACTTTTTTGAAGTTTATTAGAGATAAGAGTCTAATGGAGACTTCAATCCTCAAGTCTCAGCCTTCTAAGTAGCTAGGATTTACAGGTGTGAACCTCCAGTGCCCAAGTGTATCTAGTGATGTAAGTTTATTTGGAACCTATGGACTCCAAGCAAAGGTGACCATTTTCACCTTCTTGTTTCTTATGCTCAGACACAGAAAAAGCATTCTGCTTCCTACTATAAAGGCAATGCTGGCAATAGGGACAGCGAGATCCCTTGGGTAAAGCCCTGTACAAAGATCTTTTTTTTTTTTTTCCTTTCTCCTTTCTTTTCCTTTGGTAATTGGTATATGGGTAGAGACTCTTAGCAACTTGGCCAGATTTGGCTGCATAGGTTTACTCTGAGCTTAAACCGTTGGAAGGCAAATCTAGTATAGTATCTATGCTGGTATACTTTTTCTCTAAAAGTTAAAAAGAAATCTGTGTTGATTGCAACTAACACTAAACAAACAACACAAGCACAATACAAGCCCAAGCCAGAAAAAGCCACAGCCATTTAAGTACAAGTAGTCCCTTCGTATGTCTGAATGATGATAATCCACACGAATTTGCTTATTTTAAGACGTAAATTGCTGCTCTTGGGTTGTGTCAGGAGAGCAAAGAGCATGCAGGTTTTCTTCTGAAGCCAGCTCTAAACAATCACATTTTCGCAGCAGTACAGCAGGCTTGTTTAATCCTAGAAAGAGCCTGAGGGTCTTACATCTCTTTTGCATTTTTCCTAGCTGTGAACCCCAGTCCCCCAAGTTGCAGCCTTTCCCCATTCTCCGGAAGCAGGGTGTCAGCCCTATCTACCTCACCTTACCCCCTGCATTTCTGGTCTGTTGGTCTCTTTCCCAAACATGCTCACAGACTTTTATACCCTGGTTTAGACTGCACTCTTTACTTTTTTTGCATTAATTAAATATACATTTGACAGACCGGAAGAGTTCTAAAATAGACAGGGGTCTCCCCCGAGAGGAAGTGCTAAATTGTTTATAGTTCCTTCAAGCATTTAAATTTTTCTTCTAGTATGTATTCAGTAATTTCATTATGTCATGTTTATGCTATCCAAGATTTTAACCACTGTCCCCATTTTGAAAGGAGCAAGGGTAATGCATTTTAAATGGACTGATTTCTCCATCTTTGTGAGTTCCAATCAGTACTGGTGTACAATCTATTGTCATTTAAGTACCTCTGACAGTGTCTGAGCATGTTTTCCCCCCCCCTGTAGATATTATATAGCACCATTTTAACAGCTTACAACAACGCTCTGCATTTCTGTATTGGTCTTAGATAATCAGGTTTTGGTTTTCATTTTGATATCTCAAAAAGATAATTTTTGGTCACCACCATCTATTGAAATTCTAATTGGTCTCCAAGGATTTCACCTAAACAAAAATCCAATGTTCACTAGGCATTTCAGTGATGTTAATTTTTACTATTGAAATTGATCATTGGTATTTGTTTCTCCTTGGGATCATATGAAGTGATGCCTCAGTATTTAAATATTTTCTTTCTTTCTCTCTTTCTTCCTTTCTTTTTTTGGGGGGTTCCGGTTGTGGGGCCTGAACTCTGGGCCTGGGCACTGTCCCTCAGCTCTTCAGCTCAAGGCTAGCACTCTACCACTTGAGCCACGGCACCACTTCTGGCTTTTTCTTCTGCTTATGTGGTGCTGAGGAATCGAACCCAGAGCCTCATGCATGCAAGGCAAGCGCTCTACCACTGAGCCACCCTCCCAGCCCATATTTTCTTTTTTAAACTGTCCTCTGGCATCAGTGTCTGAAATTTTGTGTATACACACACACACACATACACACACACACACATCTGAGAATAAGATACAGTCTCAACCTTACTTTTGTTTTGTTGTGTGCCAGTCCCGGGGCTTGAACTCAGGGCCTAGGCACTGTCCCTAAACTTTTTCTTTTGCTCAAAGCTATCACTCTACCACTTGAGCCACAGTGTCACTTCTGGCTTTTTCTGTTTATGTGGTACTGAGGAATTGAACCCAGGGCTTCATGTATACTAGGCAAGGACTTTACCACTAAGCCACATTCTCAGCCAGAGTTCCTAATTTTCTGCAGACCAGGAGATGGAGGTAAGGAAAGAAGGGAGTAGTTAGAGATTGACTAAATTGTAACTTTTAAATTTTAATAAATTATACATTTTACATGTTGTTATATAACTATAATATTACTTATACATTTATATATTTATATTATATTTATGCTATATAGTATTCATATATTTATATTTTCTATATATATTATAAATAAATTATAAATTATAAAACTTTTAAGGAAAAACTTTACACTCACAAGAAATGAAGAACAAAGGTCAAAGGATTCTATGCATTTATTTAGATGATGGACACTGATATTAAATATGGAAGGTTGATTCAGCTTTTTCCTTATTTTTAACTGGCATTTATATATATTATATAATATATAATACATATTTATGTAATATAACATGTGTAATATGGCATATAATAATATATGAATATGTATTAAATTTTGGTTAAATTTAATTTATATATAACAAATATACATAAATGTATATATATATATATATATATATATCATCGAACATGATGCTTTAAAATATGTATACTTTGTAGAATGGCAAACATTCGCTCAATTAGGTGGTGAGAGTTGGAAACTGCAATAAAGAAGAAGAGAGCACCACACAGAAGGAAGAGGAAGTCACACTTGGAACCACAGTGAGCCCTGAAGCCATTTGTTTTGAAATGTTGGGTCAAGCTGTGCCGGAATCCAAGCCTTACCTCGTCACTTCTCAGTTAGAACTGAAATGAGCTTCATCTAGTTTAACTTAATCAAGAATTCTGCCACTGCTACAATGCTGGTGAGAAAATACTGTAATAGTCACACAGCAACAAAATGATCACTTCACATTTTTATATTTTATGAGCCAGATATGGCCAGGTGTGGTGGTACACACTTTTAATCCCAGCACTTAGTTCAGGATTTTTTTTCTTTTTTTTCTTGCCATTTGGGGCTTGAACTCTGGGCCTGGGCACTGTCCATCAGCTCTTCAGCTCATGGCTAGAGCTCTATCACTTGAGCCACAGCACCACTTCCAGTTTTTTTCTGTTTATGTAGGGCCTCATGCACGTAAGGCAAGCGCTCTACCACTGAGCCACCTTCCCAGCCCCTTAACCCTACCACTTAGGAGGTAGGGTAGAAGAATCTCCAATGAGAGGCCAGCATGGGCTAACTAGCTAGATCCTGTCTCACAAAATCAAAACCAAACGGTATTGAAATGGGTTTTCTGACCAGTTTGCCAGAATGCAACGTGGGACGGAGGACTTTGAAGGTGATTTTAATGCACTGAAGATCTCTCCTTTTTGGCTCCTCAATGTAGTTAACTTATTTACGCTCATTCTGCTGCTTAAGCAGTATTTCCATTGTTTAATTCACATACTGATAACATCTGTTCACTCCAGAGCAATTTCCAAGTTAAAAAACATTTTTTTTGGTAATCACTTTGTTCTTTAAGTTACTTACACATTTCTTCAGAGAAATGATCTGCGAACCTTTGTAGATTCTGCTATTTTCCTCATTCATTTAGGCAGCCTTTAATATCTTCAAAAAG